TTAGTTCCTTTTTATATACTTTTATTTCATTTTTATGTGGTGTTGAGGATGGAAACCAGTGCCTCACACATACCAGGCAAGCACTCTACCAACTGATCTACAATCCCAGCCCAAATACTTAGTTCTTAATGTGTTGGGCAACATGCTAGGTATATGGACATGTTCTACATATATTACCTTATTTAGTCCTTCAACTACTATGTCAGATAGGTTTGAAGTAAAGAGCAATAATAACAGTTAACATTTATGGGGTTAAATTACCATGTACCCTAGATTATCTTACTTAATCTTCAAAATTACTCTCATGATGGACGATAATAACTACTCCCAGAGCTGGGGATGTGACAGCTCAATGGTCGTGTTTGCCCAGCATATGTGAAGGCCCAGATTCAATCCCCAAAACTACCAAGAATAAATAAAATAATAATAATAATTGCTCCCCTTTTACAGATAAACAAGTTGACAAGTGAACTGAGGATATGAATACAAGTAGGCTAACTACTGAGCCCACATACCATCCTATTAGTGCTTTTCAAATTGCAGGTGTCAACTCATGAAATTAATGAGTAATAATCAGTATTGATACATGAGATAGAATTGAATTTTTAAAAGTACTACCTGGACTACAACATTTAAGTATTGTTTTATAAAAATTTTTAATTCATGTCTATGAAATGAAAATTATGTGCACATATAAATGCCTATGGTTGCAAAGCAAAATATATTAGAGGTCACTTTTTAAAAAAAACCACTGCACTAAAACCTACTGAGTGACCATTTTAAAAACAAGTAGTTTTAATTTATATAAGTATTTCTTTCAGTGTGACTTTCCTCTGTGTCTTACATGCTTTTTCAATTTTTTTCTGTAGGATACATGTTCTCAGGATTACTAAATGTTCTCAAGTTCTGAAAAGCATGATACTTTATTTGCTCTCTTAAGAACTTGCACATCTTTGCAGTTTTTGTCTTCGATTAGGAAAATCTTTGGTCCTAGCTGGATTTAATTTTTGACCCACATCCATTTAATTTATGACCCACATCCACTTTCCACATTTCCTAATGAGTTTATGTGTAATACCTCCAGCGCAAACAACTATGGATTGGTGGTAACCCTAGCAACGCGAAAACCTGGGCATCTTCCACCGAGGCACGATCTTTTCAGCCTTCACCAGGCTGAGCGCCCCCTGCAGCCGGAGACCAAAAGTAAACGGCATCCTCCAGCCATGACAACGGTTTCTATGTACGCGCGGCCGGAGGCACAGCCGGATTAGGGGCTGGTCCTGGAGCTTTACAACCTGCAAACCCTCTGAAGTTGCTGTCTAGCCCCTGGCTTTGACCATCAGGGTTGAAGTGCCTGGCCAACTCCAGGAACTCCCGTCCTGAGACCCCGACCCAACATCCCCCATCACGCTTGGTGACCTGGAAAGCGCTCGGGTTTGTTCCCCCCACCAGGAAGGACGTTCATCTCTCCTCACGCTCCTTACTCCAGTGCGAGGGGGGATTTTGTTCTCTGCTTCGACCTTTCAGTCCCGCTCCCGGAGGAAGGGCTGTGATAAGATGTACGTTATTCCTGATGGGCAGGTACTCACCAGCATTCAACCGGGTCTCAGATCCAGCACTTTGCGGCGGACACTGCAGCCATGCCAAGCCAGAGCTACAAAAGGGGGGCGTAGCTGGCGCCCGGACCCAACGGCGAGAGGCGAGGGGCGGGCCATCGGCAGGACCTCTGCAGTATGATTGGCTGCCCTGCACCTGCCATCCCGACGATTGGCCTTACAGCTCCCAGCTTCATACTCCTCATGGGGAAAAGGACCATTAGAGCTCAAGTTGAAATGTGAGGTTATTTCCCCCACCTCCTTTGAGTTAAAACGCTGTTACTGCTGTTATCCTGGACTACTATACTCCTACGTTAAATCGGTATCTACTCCTACTTAACTATAAAAACGTAACTAAAAATTTAGAGTCTGCATTGCAACCTATTATATCCTCTCTTTTAAAGAATAAATGAAAGACTAGATTCCCTTTTTATGCATTTCACATTTTCTGAGTGCCGGCTGAGTAGGGCACTGAGTGCTGGTATACAAAGGTCAATAAGACATAATACGAGTCATATTAATAAAACAATAGAAATCGCGTGGAGAAATGTTAAAAAATAAATTTCAGACTAGTTAAAATGGTTGGAAAATGTACAATGTGTAGCATATTACAGAAATTCAAAAAAAAATCTTTTTTCCTTTTGCACTTAAAGACATAGCAGAGACTGTTAGTGGTAAAAATTCTAATACTAAATCTTTGATTTTTTTAAATTGTTTCCATTGGTAGTGCTGGAGAATCTTAAATTTGCATGTTTATAGACATAGCTTCCAACTTTACAATAATTTGCAGGCTCATTTATTAAATTATTTGTCATGAACACATCACATGTTCCAGGTCCTGTGAAGTCATTTCATACCTCACTCCAGCCAGCAAACTCAAAAAATAAAAAGAAGCAGGGATGTAGCTTAGTGGTTAAGTGCCCCTGGGTTCAATCTCTGTTACCAAAACCAAAAAACAAATGAAACAAAAATTTATGCTCTAAATCTTACTCAGCCCACTGCAACTTCATATTATTGTATTTCCAGCAGAGAAAAAAAAATCCTTTTAAGATTTGAGGAATGGTTTTAATTCACATGCCTTCTAATTTTCTTTTCATTCATATTTAATGTTTTATTCTGGTTATAATTATGTATAGATGCATGCTGAGTAAACAAGCAACTTGAAGAAAATGGACTAGGTAAGAAAATGAAAATTACCATTACAATCTTTAGAGATTAAAATATTATATCCAAGAAACAAGGAGACAGATATGCCTGATATAGCCAGCTAACAGGGTAGTATGAGTATTTGTACCCAAAGCCTTACACAAATTCCCATATTGAGGTCTTTACTATCCAATCCATCAATGTGTTCTATTACTCAACGTCAAAGCATGTCCCACAGCTACTTCTCACTCCCTACAGCTAACACCCCAGCCCAGTTTTCTTCGCTGCCAAATGTCCTAATGCAGTCCATTCTCACAACAGCATGTATAATTTTTTAATAATATTATTTTTATTTGCAGTTGGACACAATATCTTTGTTTTGTTTATTTTTATGTGGTGCTGAGGATCGAACCCAGGGCCTTGCACGTGCAAGGTTAGTGCTCACCTCTGAGCTACAACCCCAGCCCAAGTATGTATGATTTTTTAAGTCTCGTGTCACTCTTCTGCTTGTTGTCCCAGCGGATTCCTATCACAACGCCCTAAATGAACTGGCCTCTGCCCACCTCTGCAACCTCATTTTTTTTTTTAAAGACACATTTATTCAGTATCATGATCAGACTAACATTTAGCAATCAACAGCATGGGCGGGGGAAAAAAGTCTACATTAAAATCTTTGATAGAATACACTTTCCACAGAACAGAAACTAAGATGACCTGTTATACAATTTATCACAAATACAGTCAAGTTTTTTTGTCTATACATATGAGTACTGTCTAAATCATTTCTTCTTTGTTGCAGCTAGGCCCTGTTACCACTGTGCTTAGATAAGTTCACAAATCTGTAGCTGTAGCTTCCCTGTCACTTCTCTGGCTCTCCTGTCCTGCTGTTTCCTGGCAGTAGTAAAACCTTCTACCACTGTCATAGCTCCTGCTATTGCTGGAACCACCATAGCCACCTTGGTTTTGTGATTTAGCAAACTATTGGCCTCTAAAACCAAGGAGTCCAGAGATTCTGCCTCCAGTTTCCACCCTTGGTGGGTCCAAAATTTGATAACTCATTGTTGTAATTGCCAAAATAATTAAATGAGCTTCCACCACCTCCAAAATTGGTTCCATCATTACCAAATCCATTGTAGCCATCCCCACTGCCACCAAAATCAACACAACCACTCAAGTTTTCTCCAAGACCAAAACTGTCATTTCTACACCTCTATAACCACCAAAGTTTCCAAGACTTGGACTTCTTTGGCTAAATTAAACACTAGCCATCTTTTGCTTTGACAGGGCTTTCATCACTTCAGTTGTGGCCATTAACAGTATGGTATTTCTGAACGACAATCTTATCCACAGAGGTCATCCAAAGGTACAAAAGCAAAGGCCCTCGTCTTTTCACTGTCTCAGTCAGTCGTGATTTCAATAACTTCAGTTTTCTCAAACTGTTCACAATAATCTCATGTGATGTTCTTCAGTGACTTCTTTAATGCCACCAACAAAGGTCTTTTACACAGTTAAGTATGCCCATGGTCTTTGAAAATCTTCTCTTGGGACAGCTCTCTTTGGTTCCACATCTCTTTCATGTATCTTGTGTGGTCCTGCACTCATGGCTGTGTCCACTTCCTCCACAGTGGCATAAGTGACAAACCCAAAGCTCCTGGAGCACTTGATGTTTGGGTCTCTCATTACCACACAGTCCGTGAGTGTTCCTGATTACTCAAAATAGCATCTCAGACTCTCATCAGTTGTTTCAAAGCTCAGTCCTTTGATGAATAGCTTCTGCAGATGTTCAGGTGCTCTGGGGACTCTGATTTAGAGATGATGGTAGTAGGAAGACTCTAACAATGCTTTCTTGGTGGCATCCAGTGACAAAAACGCAACCTCACCTTTTTCCACTATCTCACTGTTCATGAAGTGTAAGTCACATGCGCTTCATTTTGAAGTGGGAACAAAGTAAGTTCACAGTTTGCCCCATAGCTTTTACACTGGCTCTTTCCCCTATTCCAGGAATGCTCCTTCTAATCTTTCAGTCTTCTACTCAAGTATCTATTCCACTTTGACTAATTTTCTATACAGAACTTATTTCAGAAGGGTAGGCATGCATATGACCCTGTATATGTGAAGAAGCAACTTGTTTTTACATATTCTCAGCTATTCCTTTATGTCTATTCATTTCTGATTTTACCTACTAGTTTTGAATTTTTTTATATCTTTATACTGAGAGCAAGTAGACTAATTTAATCTGTACCAAATAATGCTAGAGAGTTTACCAACAGTTCACAACATATAATTATGGTTTCCAAGGAACTTCTTTCATCAGAATTTTACAGGACTTTAGAAACTTGCATTTCTAAAAGTGTTTAATTAAAAGTGTGATTTGGGGAAGCAATTTTAATTTTTCATTTTGTGTCTGATCACATAATACAATAAAATAAAATTAAGTCATTTAATTTACACAATCTTTACACAAATTACTGATACCTAAACACAATTTGACTTGGAAAATGAAATAAAATGAAATTATATGTATACAGTTGTATTCATAAGATAAGTGTGCTAAATGAAAAGCTGTATAATAACGAGAAACATTCAAGGGTCAAATCCAGATACAAAGGAAGACACTCCTCTGAATTCCCATGTTTCATCGAGCATCAAAAACCACCACTGTGTGAAAGTAAGTTAAGGACAAAAGGATACTTAAAAGTTATATAAGATTCAGGCTTCCAAGAAAATCACTTTTTCTTTGCAATAAGCTTATTTGTTGTTTAATGTAAAATATACCAAAAATAAAACGGAATTTAGTAATTACTATGACAACAGAAAATTATCTAAATTTTTTCTTCAATTTTTATGAGTACTTCTTCCATGTAAAAGACTAATACATCAAAAAATACTAAAGCAACATTAAAGGTGATAACATTGATTTTTAAGAACTGGTTCATTATTACATTAATAGTTCACTCTCAGTATTTGGGCTAATTTGTATGTTCCACTTTTTCCATACAATAATTCTATTATCCTTGTATAATTTAGTTTGCCCATAAACTCAAGCTCGAGAACTTCTATAAACACTAGAATCCCTGAAAAATATTTATGAGAACCAAAATCAACTGGTATTTGAATACTGTGAGTCTATACAATGGTATAAAAAAAGTTACTTGTGTTTGTTTTCGAAGTAATCCAAAAGTTATTACTATGTTAGCAGAACTTAGTATGTACCAACCCCAACATTATTAATTTCCTCACCATATTTATAAACCATAGTTAAAAGGATACATCTTTTAGTTCTTTTCTTGTACATTATTCTGTATCCGCATTCTCTGCATCTGATTGGATCCCTGGATTTTATTTCATTTTCTGTGTGACATTCTAGAAAAGAAAACACACTTAATCAATGCCTAAAAGGAAAACATTGCAAACAAGAAAATGATCTTAACTCTATTTTTTATCCAAGGCAACCCAAAAAACTAAGATATACTAAAACTGAAGAGTAGGCTGCTATTACTAAATATAGTAAGTAGGTAAGAAGAGTTGTGGGCAATGCACTTTTTCCAGGTGAAAACATGAAGTCTTAACAGGAGGTTTGGGGTTTTTTTTTTTTTTTCTCCTTCTTTTTCTCTCATCCCCCACCAAAAGATAATAGGATTAATAAAAAGTGTTCTACTTTATAACTTTAAAGACCAGTAATCCATTTAAGGAAATAATAAATGCAATAATTTCAAGGAAAAAAATAAGGAAAACACTCTTACTTTATCTAAATGCTACTCTTACCTCCACAGATATAGATCATTGGCTGCTGCTTTGGGGGTTGAACGTCCTTCTGAGTGTCCATTCCTACCTGAAATCACAAACTCAAATATTAAATATCTCAAAGGGGCTTCTCAAAAAAACAACCAATCCCCATTTTTCCCTGAAGCTAAAAAGATGATGTCAATTACTAATCTCTGCTTCTTTCCTAAATACTACAGATTAGGTCTAAAGGATGAAACACACAAAGTATTGAACGTCACCCAAAACTCACACGTTAATAAACACTTTATGCATGTTATTTCATTATAATCCTCACAATAATGCTAGTATGTATCCCTCTTGTTTTAGAGATGAAAAAGTTGCCGTTTAGAAAATTAATTTGCGCAGAATCCATCACTCAGCTACAAAACGGCAAAGAGCTTCAGCTGACTGAAAGCTCGCGTTTTTCATTTGACATACGTTCCATATTTTCAATTTTAGCTGGAAGAAAACCAAAAAAAAAAAAAAAAAACTGTCAACAGAGAAACAGTCTAACCGAAGGGAGAAAACAATAACTCCCAACAGCTAACTAAAAGAAACTAGAGAAATGACGGCAGCATCGACTTTATTCTGCACCCCGCCCAAAACTGATCCCACCCGAGATCTTTTTAGCATATAGACACCAAAAACTTTTGGCCCAAATACCTACCCCCAAAACCCCAAGAAACATACTTACACACCACGCAGACTTTTCCCCGCGTTTCCAAACAGAACATCTATCGTCGGGGCGTCTCAGCCAAGTTCCGGCGCCGGCGAATGACGTAAAGAGGTGTCTCTGCCTCTTCCGCCTCATAGAGGCCTGGGAACACGCATTGCGCAAAGGCGGTAAAGCGTTGATGGAGATGTGTTTCGCTTGTAGCTATTTTCGTCTTTGAAGGAAACAAAGCATTTTAATGGCTTTACAAGCCGAAGAGGTTTGTGTTTCCGACTAAGGAAGTTGGTAGGGAAGTAAAACTTCTAGAAGGGCAGAGGGATAGAAGAGAAAATGACGAATGCGGGTGGAACCCAACCTAGCCTTTATTCTAGTTTACTTAGAAAGAACTACCAGTATTTTTCACATATAAAAGCACTTTCTGTCAGATCAGGCGGGGCAGGCAGCGACCCAAGGAGGTAGATTTAAAAGGGCCGCTGAACAGGCTTTATTGAGATATCACTCCCTGGTGGAACTCGATCAGACCCACAGAGGGGACAGGAGAAGGATCTGAGGAGAAACCCCGTGGAAGCTCGACCGGACTGGACTTTTATTGGGCTTACAGCAGGAAGGGAAGGGCTTGGGACAGGAAAAGGTGTTTTTAGGGTCCCTTGCCCCCTTGGAGTTGGTCAGGGGAGTTGGCTGAACTCCAGGATTGGCCAGGGGGTCCTGCTGATTGACAGGCCTTAGTCAGGAGATCTGGCTGATTGACAGGCATTTCCGCCAGCATTCCGGTGTGGGCTGCTTTGTTCTAAGTTGCCACCAAGTGGCCACCACCGACCTAACACTTTCCAGTTACGTTTTTCAGATGTTGGAGACCTGTGCTCGGGCAGTGCTGCAGCAGCTTCCCATCCTTCGCCTGGTTTTGTTTTTGGTTTCCTGCTTTGTCTCAGGCCCCTTTTAAAGCAAAGACCCCATGAGGGCAGCTATTTCTCTCAGCTGTTTCTCTAATCTAAGAGATATTGATCACCTTAGTTTCTCTTTCTCCCTCCCTTGTGTTCATCCACAGAATAACAAAATTGTTAAGTGGAGGTGCATTCTTTCAAAAATAAAAGTTCTCACTGAAAATTCTGTTTATACTTGTTAGTAGGGCAAAGAAAATGAAGTTAATTCGAATTGAGATTTTTTTTTTTTTTTTTTTTTTTGTACTGGAGATTGAACTCGGGGGCACTAGACCACTGAGCCTCATCCCCAGGCCTTTTTTTTTTTTTTTTTTGTATTTTATTTAGAGACTGGGTCTCACTGAGTTGCTTAGTCCCTCACCATTGCGGAGACTGGCTTTGAACTCCCGATCCTCCTGCCTCAGCCTCGCGGAGTCCTGGGAATACAGGCGTACCCACTGCGCCTGGCCACAAGTATCTTAATCAGTTGTTAAAAACCATTATAAAGTTAATCAAAGTTGTAGGCTTTTTTTCTCCTGACATGCACCATGTTTTTATTATCTTATTAAGCAGGCTATGTTCCTTTCCAGTTCTCCATCCAGCATCTTAAGAACTTTGAGCTTCACTTTTTACTTCCAGTGGTTGCATCTCCACAGAACAGCTTGAGAGATTTAACTTGATCTTTATAGTCTTCCTAGATGCTAATTTAAAATTTTCCAGGACTTGAAGTGTAGCTTAATAGTATAGTGCTTGCCTGGCATGTGTGAAGCCCTAGGTTCAAACCCCCAGCACTGCAATTAATAATAATATTAATAGGAGAAGTAGTAATAATACTAATACGTTAAAAATAGAAATTTTCAGAGGAAATTAATTTAAAATTAAAAACAGAAATTTCCAGAAAAGTATCAGTTTCCTGCTTTTTCCTTTACCCACAGACTAACAGCATAAATATTTTGACCATCAGCCCTGTTATGAAATACTTCTGTCAACCAAAGAGATAATCCAATACAAGGGGATATCTCTTCTCCACAAGAAATATTAAAGAAGACTGTTTTTATCATAAGACAAGGATAACGGAAAGCGAAGATTTCACATTTGCAAGCTATCCTAGATTCTAACTCCAAGTATCAAGATGTCTATGAAACAAATCAATCTATAGCAATCAGAATGGATCAATACAGGTAGAATATAAATGGATCTGGAGACCCTTCAGAATGGTATGACAATAACAAGGCATAGTAAGGAGACCCAGAATTTCCACAAGAGTTCATTTTGGTGCTAGTTCCCAATTGAAGGCCTTCTTTTCTAATAGCAGTAAGCAGTAATTTAGGATCTAAATTTAGCTTCATGGAAGCTACCCTATTATCTTTTGGTGGGGGATGGGGGTCTGGGTCTGGGATTGAACCCAGGACCTCACACATGCAAATGCTGTACCACTGAACCACACCCACAACCCTATTACCTATTAACAATGATGATGTTAGCTAACTTTTCTTGAGCCCTTATTACGTGTCAGATATCTCTCTCCTAATAAGAGCAGTAGTCTTGCCATCCTGGACATGAGGGATTTTAACTCTTTTGAATATGGTTATAGAGATAACAAGATGCTATCCACTCCCCCACCCCAGGCGAATTTCCCTCTTTCCTTTTCCTTGATCATAATTACTTACGAAATTGGCATTGCTTGAATGCCACGGTCAATGGGAAAATCTCACATTGATTGGTCACAAAAAGAAGCATTAGATCTTGTGGAAAGTAGGTGTATTCGACGGAATGGTGCTCAAAAACAAGAAAGGGAAACAAAAAAGCAAAAGACGGGTGGGTAAAGAATATAAAAATTTAGTTAAGTGGCTACCTCTGGAAAAATTCCTGGAAAGGGATTTTTTTTCTTTTTCTTTCTTTCTTTTTTTTTTTTTTTTTTTGTGTGTGTGTGCAGGGAGTGATGAAAATTATTCTTTCTTAACTTACACAAAAGTTCCATGGTATTTTATTTTTTACTTACAATTAAAGTATCTCTGGAAAATAAATTAACTGGAGGAAGAAAAGAGCAATGTTTGAATGATATTTGGAGGTGATGTGGATTATATTTAACGATAGGCAAAATTCCCATCCTATTTGCATTGGGTGAGGATGAGTAGCAAACATTAAAAAAAAATAAGTAGACAACATCACATTTTAGAAGGTGACGAAATGCTTGGGAATATTCAGTAGAGAAGGCGGATGGCAAAATGCCAAGCAAGGAAGGGTGAAATAGTTGTAACATTTGTTTGAAGAGCTAGGGAGCATACTACTCACTGTGTGTGGGAGTGCTTGGGAGGCCTCAGACAGGTGCTCTTGAATGATGTGTACTCCATCAATTCCTTACCTGAATTCATACATGTACTTCATCTTAACCTCACACTAAATCCATCTTATTTTCCCCCATGCCTGTTCTCTAACACTCCCCTCACCCTAAGTCACAAGTGGTGGATTCTGCCAGGTTCTTCTCCATTCCCACTGTGTCCCAGAGTGACGCAGTAGCTTCCTTGAAGCCACCCTCACCTGTCTTTATTCTGTACTTCATGCTGCCACAGTGGCTTTTCTAAAATGCTCTGCACTGCCTCGGGGATAAACTTCAGATTCTTAACATGCATCCGTAACTCTCCATGACTTGGCTCTACCCCTTTTCAAGAATTTTCTCTTGTGCTATCCTCTGGTATATCTTGTTATTCAGCTATAACAAATTATTTACAGTTTTTCTAATGTGCCCAGCTCTCAATTTCCTGCTCTTGATCATTTTGAGTTTGGAATTTCATGTTGTGCACCTTTTATGCCATCTGTCCATCAAAATCTATCTGACATGGTCATTAGAAGTTAGCATTGCACCCTCTTCTCCAGTAGCATCAGTAGGTCCCTCTTTCCTTTGTGCCACTGCTATTCTTCTATAATAGTACCCATACCAAACCATTAGCCCCTTAAACCAGTGACTGCTTGCCTTATCTTTTTTTTTTTTTTCTCTCAGTACCTAGTCCATTAACTGGCAGGAAATTTGAGTTGAGTATTTGTTAGTGAGTTTTATTTTGGATATGTTAAGGATGACCAAGGGGCATGCAGATAGAGGAAAGTCACCAGAGTAGAGTTGTGGAAGAGGCAGTTGGTAACACCAGCAATAGTTGAGCTTCTAAATGAGACTCTGAGATGATCACCTAAGTGCTGAAGTAGGGTAGGGTCTTGCCTAAGGAATGGGCCAAGGAAAAGAAGCCAAAACAAGGAGGAAGCTGCTAAGAGCAGTAGGACTGTGTCTGGCATCTAAGTGTCCAGTAAATATTTATTGAATGAAAATTAGTGTTTAAAAATACGTTTGGCATTGAAAGTATTTGGGTATATGCCATATCTAATAAGGGATGTCTGTAAATAATGAATCCATTTCACTGTTTTTTTTCCAGTTTTCTAATTACAAAATCTATATATTTGTCTATTCATTGTAGAAACACGAAGAAAAATACGAACAGGACACTATTATAAAAAACAAGCATAATCTTATCCAAAGATACAGTGACCACATCATTCCTACCTTTAAGCTCTTACTCTGTGTCTCTCTATACTTTTCACCTAAGAGCGCTCATTCCGTTTGTAACCTGCTTTTACACTTGAGCCCGGAAATCTTTTCCAGTGAATACCTTCCTGCATTATTTCTAATAGCACCGCAATGCAAAGCACAGAAGCCTTTGAAAACGATGCTTCCCCAAGTGAGCGTGCTAAAAGAGCTTCGACCTGCGTGGGTCGGGTAGGTGGGAGAGGGCAGGGCCTGCGGGCTGGCTGCGGGCGGGGCCGCGGCGGAGCCCGAGGAAGGGGCGGCGCGGGGCGGGGCGGCGCGGGGCGGTTACTCAGGGCGGGCAGTTCAAACTGAAGGAGGGAAAGGCGGCGGCCCCACGCGAAGCCGGCGTGAGGGTTGCCATAGCCCGGCATCCCTGGGGGGCGAGCGAGGCTCCTCCCGGGCGCACCCGCGGCGGCCGCCCGGTCCCCCGCCCACCCATCCGCCCGGCGAGCTGCGGGGTCGGAGCGGCAGCTGGACGGGGTAGGGCACAGGTGTGTGTGCCCGCTAGGCGGCCTCGGGGCGGCGCGCGCCCCACTGGGGTCTCCGGGTGCGGGGACTAGCGAGGGTCAGGGCACCAGCTCTCCTCCCGCGCCCTCCGCTCCAGGTGACGTCCTCGCGGCCCTGTCGGCACCTGCCGGCCTTGGCGCTCGGGTGAGACCGTTACCCACCCACCAGCTGATCGCACCTGAGGGTAAAGGCAGCGCTGCAGCTCAAGCTGCTTTTGCAGAAACCTGGGTTTGAGAAGTTCAGTCATTGCCAAGAGTAACTGGAGAAAACACGAATATTAAGAGTACTGTTGTCTGAAGGGTTGAAGGAAATTCAAAATGATTTAGGCCTTTTCAAGCGTGGTGTCTAATCCCTGTGGCATGTATTTTATGTATACTTCCAATTTTAGCATTCATTATGTTCTGCACGTTTCAATTAATTGTTCAAATTGAAGTTTCTAAGTGACATTACTTTGGCATGAGTTTTAATGAGAAAGATGAGAGATTTTCATGTTTGGAAGCCTACCTAACTTTGACATCTAGGAGTTCAAGATTTACTGATGGTAAGATTTTCCACTTTAACAAATAAAGGAAATATACTTTTAACATAATTAAATATCCATGATTTAATAGGTGCTTTCTTTTTTTTAGTTGGCACATTGTAATTACATACAGTAATAGGATTCATTATGCTGTATTTGTACATGCATATAACATAAATTGTAGGTGTTTTCTTTTTAAAAGCCTTTAGATACGCGTTCTGAGCTCTTTATCAGAAGCCTGGTTTATAAAAAAGAATATCCAAGAGACTATTTCGTAAGTGATTTGTTGAGTCAGTACAATAAGCCAAGGGGCATTCTGTGATTTGGGGTGAATAATTTTAAGGTTAAGTTTTGAAGAACCAAGTTTTGAGACCAGTGTTTTGGGGTAAATGAAAATGATGACAGCAGGGGGAAAAAAATGGTTTTGAAGGGGAGGGATTTCTGGGACTCCACTTTGTTTCCAACAATTTACCTCTCAGTTTCCCATATTCTAGCATGGTGAGACACCTAGTGGCGAAGTAGCAGAATAAATTTGTTTTTAACTGTAGAAACTCCTTGACCATTTTTTTTTTTTAACCAAAAATTGAGTGAAACTGTTTCTTCATAGAAGATTCGTGGGAAAAAAAGTAATCTGAAAACACATAATATCTTATTAATTTAATATTTGGAAGACAAAAAATGTTTTAAAATACATTGCAAGTTGTAGAAAGCAAAGTTTGATCATCTTGGCTCCCAAGCGTGTGCAGAAGTTAACAGTGATCATGAGGAGACATATGTAAGATTTATCAAGGAGTAGAGATCTCAAAAGTCAGCTACTTGGCCAAGTATAAATTATCAGTTTACCATAAAGAAATAATTTTGTGTTTAGTGTAGAAATTTGTTTATGTAACATGCTTGTTCACTATGTTTTGTTTTGTTTGAGACAGGGTCTCGATAAGGTGCTGAGGCTGGCTTTGAACTTGCCATCCTCCTGCCTCAGCCTCTCCAGTTGCTGGGACTACAGGTGTGGGCCACCATTCCCAGCTCTTTTACTGATATATCTAACTAATTTAACATAGGCATAAATCAATTGCTATCTCATTATATAATGTCAACTAAAATTTATTTCCTAATGGTCTTTTAATTGCAAAAAATCATGCATATGAGTTGGAGAAAATTTTCAAGTAATTTTCTTAGTGTCCTATGAAATATATGGAGATGTATAAAAAATGATAACTTTCTGGGGGCTGGGTGGTGGCTCAGCAGTAGAGCGCTTGCCTAGCACATGCAAGGCCCTGGGTTTGATCCTCAGCACCATATTAAAATAAAGGTATTGTGTTCAACTACAACTAAAAAATAAAATATTTAAAAAAACTATCCAAATTAGCTTCATTCCTTTGAGTTAACACTTAATTCAAGTTTCTATAAAGAAGGAATATGATAATACTGTTGAAAAGGTTAAGGAGTAAAATACTTTCTACTGTTGTTTCTTACTCATATACTTGCTAAGTAAATGTTTTCTTTAAATAACTGATTTGAATCCCTTATTTCCTACTTCAAAAGTATTATAAAGGGTGGATTTTTGCCTCTTATCTATGATTTTAAGCCTACAATGGGACCTTATGTCTTAAAAGGTTAGAAACTGAGACATAAAGGCTAGGGTTGTAGTTCAGTGATAGAGCACTTGCCTAGCATGTGTGAGGTACTGGGGCTCAAACCTGCACATCACATAAAAATAAATCAATTGTGTCCATCTACGACTAAAAATATTTTTTAGAAAACTGAAACATAAGTATAACATGTCAAGTTTGAAATGGCCCTGTACTGTGGTGCAGTGATTCATTTTGATTATCTCAAGGAAAATATATTAGTAATCAATGAGCCAAAGTCTTTGTAATTCTGATCTTATAAATTTTGACCTTATAGTTATGAGTACTGAATTTCTCTGTTATATGTGTGGTCAGCCTAATTACATTTAGACTATCGGCAGCACGCATTATTTGACACATTTTCCAAAGAGATGTTTTAAAAGTAGCATATAGTGTTTTTAAAGTAGCTTTATTTATATCACAACACTTTTAAAGGAAATACCCACCTGACAAATATAGCTAAGTATGAATAAGCTAAAATATTAAAACTAAAATTATGTAATTTCATTCTATGTAATCATAAAATAATAAAATAAAAATGAGGCTGCTAGAGGTTTTTTTTTTTTTAGTAGTTCAAGAAATAATGCTTGGACTATGGCTGGTAAAGTAATGTATGAATATTTATAATTCAGGTTTTGGTATTATGACATCAAGAAATTATTTTTAAGGGCTGGAGTTTTAGCTCACTGGCAGAGCACTTGGCTAGCATGTGTGAGGTACTGAGTTCGATCCTCAGCATCACATAAAAATAAAGATTTTGGGTCCATCTACAACTAAAAAGAAAAAAAATGTTTTTTAAAAAATTAAGGTGTGGGCTGGGATTGTGGCTCAGCGGTAGAGTGCTCACCTCGCATGTGTGGGACCCTGGGTTCAATCCTCAGCACCACATAAAAATGAACAAAATGTAGATATTAAAAAAAAAAATTAAGGTGTAAAAGAAGAAGTTGTTTACGTAGGATACACATCAGTATATTGTGTAGATTGGATTTTCAAAGTAACTTTAACAAATTGTCACACAATTTTCTAATATTATCTGTACTCAAAACAATATATTTAGTGTAAGCTGCCTGGGTACTCATTTCAAAGGAAGAATAAATTTGTTTTCACTTTTTAGAAACAGAGAGCTTGAAGATGTCACAAAGGCACTCAGATCAAGCTAGCCCTGGAACAGGAAGTCAGGTGGACTCTCCTACCATCAACTGCAAGTGCTCCAGCTTCAGACGTTCTTGTTCCACATCTTCCTTTCAAGATAGTGACCATAACAAGTTGTCAAAATCTTTCTGCTGTAATAATGCAGATAAAGAAGTTTTGGGAAACAAAGAAAAAGACCCAACAGTAACTCATGAGCACCCTGAAACTTTAAACCTAGGCTTAACACATCCTTTAGAGTCTCCCACTCAAAGAAAGAAATGTGTCTTTTCTAGGAAGGAAATGGAGAAAACCCCAGAACTTTGTGAAACTCCTAAAGTCAGTGGGAAAAAATGTCTACTGCGGAGAAGATTGAATATGTCTTTCTCTCTTCTAAAGGGGGACTTTGAATCACGAAACAGTTCTTTAGAAAGTAGTATAAGCCAAGTTCTCAACTTAGAAAAAAAGATCCCAAGCAGTGCCACAGATTTTCCCAGGCAAAATGATTTTAGCCCATTAGTTACTAGCACATTAAAAACAGAAGAAGTGACATCCAACAGTCAAAACTTGAGACTAAATTTTTCTCAACAGAAGACTTCCACAATTGATGATTCTAAAGATGATTGTGACTTATTTGAAGTTGAATGTATATCTCCAATTCAGGGCAATAATTCCAAAGATTCTATCACACATGACTTTAGTGATAGTAGTTTAAGTGTTAATGATGAAAATACACATCCTGCACTTCTGGGCTCCTCTGGTAGTGGAACAACCTGTGGAATAGATGAGGACCTATTTGTGACTCCAGTAAGTAATCTTGTAGCGAATATTAAATTTAATGCAAGTCAAACACATTCTCCTTCAGCTGAAGTGAGACACAATGTTTCAACACCTGAAGACAGTGGTTTCAACTCACTTAGCTTGGAGAAGTCTGAAGATTCCCTCTCTGACCAGGAGAGTTCTTTTCAAGAACTATTCCAGAATCATAAGGGGACTCTCAAATTGGGGGACACCGTAAGAAAGTCAAGGCGTCTTGGAAGGTCGAGAAGACTGTCCACTCTTCGGGAGCAAGGCTCACAGTCAGAGACAGAGGAGGAAAAGCAGATCACCCACTCCAACCCTGAAACGAGACTCTTGACCACTTCAAGCACCTCAGAGAGTGGGCTGGGCTGTGATAATAAGAGTGAAGATTTGACCATAAGCTTCGAGAATTTATCAAGAACCCCAGCCTTGCAATTAGTGCATGAGCTCTTCATGAAAAACAAAAGGAAAAGATTTCAGCAAAAGGATGCCCATGAATTCTTGGAAGAAAGGGATGGGGAAACAATTGCCACCTTGCAATCTGTTCTTGCAGGACTGATTGGCAAAAAGATGGGTATAGAACAGCTGGACATCTTAACAGAATTAAAGTATAGAAATTTAAGGCATATTCTTGCTATGGTTTTAGATTCCTTGACTGCAGAGAGCCTGTACAGGTAAGAAAAGTTTATGAAATAAAATTTGCTTTTACTTTTTAAGTTGAAAAGTTTTTCTGAATTGAGTGTCCTGTTTTTCATGTGTTTGTTTCTGTCTTTGATTGTCTTACACTGTATTGTTTAAGTAACCTTCCCAGTAGAGTTTGCTAGTATAGTTTCTTCTTCTAAAGCCTGATTTAGAAGCAACAATATAGTTTTTTTTTCTGGATAGAATTTGTCACTCATTTAAAAAGAGAATTCCTAAAAGTTGAACTTTACATTTTCAAAATTGTAAGCTTTGTTCCACAGATTGTTTGAAGAATTAAGAATTAATATCCTATTGTTGGATACAAATTGTATTTAAGTTCTAACATTTGGTAAGAAATATTAAGAATGTGGTTAGTAAGAAATGACCACATACAATGGATACCATTTAATTATTTAAACCAAGCTCTAGAACCCAAGAATAATAGTTAGCTTTCATTTTGGGGTTTGGTCTTTCAGGGGCCAGGGGAATATGCATTGTTTCATTTTCATTGCTAACACTGCAGAAGAAATTAATTACTTTTGGGAATTACGAACTGAAGAATTTGTGTTCACAGATATCCCAGTAGTTTGAGTGATGCTACATAATTAGAACAGACAGACCTTTAGGACTACTGAAGGCAGGAACTAGAATTACAAAGACTAAAGGAAGAATGTTCATGCTGGTGATGTGAAGGAATTTCAGGATTGTCAGAAGACAGGACCCTCAGTAATGTCATGGCCAGGAAGGAGGAAAGTCACACAGAACAGGTTTTTGCTAAGTGGTGGTGGTGGGGGGGGGCATACAGGAGGGTAGTGAGTCTCTTTCTTAATGGGAATATGCCAAGGGTTTGGTTTGTTTTTATGGCCACTACTCCTAAACACCCTTCCTCACTGCCCCCCCCCCCTCCAATATTATAGGCTATTGTAACGAATTGTAGAATTTCATAGCTGGAAGTATTCTGAAATATTTAGTCTAACTATTTATTTTGCAGATGAGGAAACAACTCTATAGAGAAGTTAAGTGACCCACCTGAAGTCACTCGGGAGACAGGAATAGATCTAGGTCTACAACTGAGCTCTCTCATTTCTCATGATTAAATGATTAAGGTCTTTCAGAATAAACTTGATAGAGAATGTATTTGGTAGGACACAAACAAATATCCCAAATAGGATAGCAAACATGTTAGGCTTTCCTTAGGTTTGTCTTTTAAAAAATTTTCAAGAGATAAATTATTTGTTTAAACAATTAAGGAGATGGCCAAAACATAGGAATGATAATTTTTTATATGCTAGAGTATTTGGATATGGCCCAGTTAAAATAAAAAGTTGGGTGATACTTTAGGGTGCTCACTTGAATGAGCAGTTGACATTCATATTTTAACAATAACTTCTTCGTACCACTATCCAAATTTATAGTGTTTGTACTGCAGAATTTGTGTCTATAACCTTAGCAGTGCTGTTCTTGGCAGCGTGAGGAATAATGGTCAGTTGAAATGGGTGTGGAGAATATCCAATTATGTCACTCTCTTCCTCATTAATAGGTGACTATGTAAGGCACATTTGTTGGCTTAGAGAAAGGCAATGGCAACTCAAGTGGCCTTGGTAGGAAGAATAATGGTGTCGAGCATTACCTGGGCCCTCTAAAATGAGCAACTGCTTTTTTTCAGTCTTCTTTCAGTTATTGATAATAGCAATCATTGGATGAAAACTGTCTTTAGATGCTTCGTTGTTTTGAACTTTGTTGAATAAAACAGGAACTTTGGTGCTACTCACAATCATGTCTATTATTTGGCACTTATTGCTTTCAATGAAGGATTAATTTTTCTTATGTTTGTTTAGGTAAAATGGAAGAGATGTGTTGAATACCACAATAGGAGAAATCAATTTAAAATTCTTGTCCTACAGATGATAATCATTTTCTTGCATGTTTTATTCCAGATTTTGAATCTTAGTGTCACTTATCTTAATTTCCCACTGGACTCATTTTGGCCTTATATGACTACGTATGAAATGGCAACCTATTAAAATGCTAACATATACTTAATATTTATCAGGAATTCTTTCATAGAGTGAATTAGTATGAGACAAGATGTTGATCAAGTCATATTTTTAATATTTTTTTAAAGAGAGAGAGAATTTTAATATTTATTGTTTAGTTTTCGGCGGACACAACATCTTTGTTTGCATGTGGTGCTGAGGATCGAACCCAGGCTGCACGCATGCCAGGCGAGCGCTCTACCACTTGAGCCACATCCCCAGCCCCTCAAGTCATATTTTTAATGTAACTTTCTAGTTTAAGTTTATGTCCAAAATCTTTTAAGTTTTTCTTATTTTTTACCATCTATGAAAAATTATAATCTTTCAGAATACGTTCAATGTAAGGACTGATCTTTCGTTTCAGTGCTTGGAAAGTCAGCAAAAACTGGCGTGAAATTGTTGTTCAAGATAAAAAAGCAAATCGGAGGAGGAAATTTTATATCACACAACTGAAAGCAAATTCTGAGGTAATAATGTACACTGTACTTTTCTAAAATGGATTTATATAAATATCCAATCATTCCACATTGTGGAAAAGCTAATTTGGTTTTCCTGCTATATTTTAACCCTTTCCATTTAGCAAACATTCAATCATAATCTTTTTACTTTTTCCAAAATCCCTTTCACGCCATCTGTAAAGTCAAATAGATAAGTGAGCACCGAGAACATCTTGTTGAGTTTTGTGGGATTTATGCAGATTTGCTGTTAATAACATCTGAATACCAATGATATACTAGATCCCATTCATAAATCAATATCTTCATAGCATTTAAAAAAACTTTTTTAGTTGTAGATGGACACAATATCTATCTGGACACAATATCTATCTATCTTTCTTTCTTTTTATATGGTGCTGAGGATTGAACCCAGGGCCTCACACCTGTGAAGCAAATGCTCTACCACTGAGCTACAGCCCCAGCCCCTCTTTATAGCATTTTTTTAAATCCAGTCTTTTGAGTGCATATTACATGACAGTAGCCAGTTGTTCAAATTACAGTGGTAGGTAATTTCTGAAATGGTCTCTGCTCTCCTGGAGCTTTTACCCTGGAAATGATACAAATAAACATGTGACTACAATACAAGTTAGGGGAAGCCCAGAGTTATACTGGACATTTAAAAGAAGTGCACCTCAGACCAAATGATAAATTAGCAATTAACTAAGAAAATGACACACGTAGAGGCCTAGAGGTGATCTTGGCAGATGAGTACTTGTGAAGCACTCCTTTGAGGATTTGAGGTCTGGCTTTGAAGTGACATGAAAAGGCTTACCAAAGCTGATGGATTCTATCTACACAGGGACACTACTTAGTATAATGGACACCTGATGACTGTCACCCATATGTTTTAATAGATTCAACTTGGAGACCTTTCTTAGGCATGAATACCCAAAGAAACTCTTGAGAGTTTGCTACCTTAAGTGTTGTTCTAGTAAAAAGTATTTAATAACATATTGTAAGAAAATTTTACAATTAGATTAAATATAATTGAGATGAAGCATGGCATTAAATATGAACATCTAAATACAGATTAGTAGTTTTCTCATTTCGGGGAAATATTAGAAACTTTGAAGAAAAGTTTTACCTTTTCACCTGCAATGCTGCCTAGGTTTATTCAGAGCTGCTGGGCACTTACTGATGTAGCTGCTGGCTCCTGGAGCTTATGTAGTGAAGATATTAACATTAACTGCTTTTTCAATGTATGTTTTCAGAGTGCTGACTTATATACTAAAGGCAGAATTAAAAACACCTATTTTTAAACCAAGTACCTATTAATATTTAAACTTTTAGCTCCATTTACTGCTTAATACCTCCTGGGAAGGAAAGGGGTTCTGTTGGCAACCCCTCCAAGTAATTCTGGATAAAATATCCTCATATCCTAGTCATCACTTAAAAAAAAAAAGTGGTTTCTTAAAATATAGTATACATTTTACCTTTTTCTTTTCTTTTTTTAAAATATATTTTTTTAGTTGTAGTTGGACACAATATCTTTATTTTATTTTTATGTGGTGCTGAGGATCGAACCCAGGGCCTTGCACATGCTAGGCAAGTGCTCTACCGCTGAGCCACAACTCCAGCCCCATACATTTTGCCTTTTTCAAAACAGTTTTTTTATTTGCTTTTTAAAACTCAAAGTAATACATTTTTAAAAAGTTTAAAAAATGAAAATGGATTGTGGCTTAAAATAAAACATGGTATTCTCCTGTCCTACTTCCTACTTCCTGCTTCCAATTCTTGCCCCATCAAGGCAATCACTTTCAACTTTTCTATTCTTGACCTCCACAATTTTAGATTAAAATGCTTTTTGTGGGGAGAGGATACCAGGGATTGAACTCAGGGGCACTCAACCACTGATCCACATCCCCAGCCCTATTTTGTATTTTTTTAGATACACGGTCACACTGAGTTGCTTAGTGCCTTCCTTTCGCTAAGGCTGGCTTTGAACTTGTGGTCCTCCTGCCTCAGCCTCCTGACCTGCTGGTATTACAGGAATGCGCCACCACACCCGGCAAAATTAAATGCTTTGACTGATATTTATTATTTTTTTTCTGTAGAGGTATTAGTTTAGATCTCTAACCTCTGTTTTGTTTTTTTTTTATTTGTAGGTGGTCACAATATCTTTCTTTCTTTTTATTGGTGCTGAGGATTGAACCCAGGGCCTCACACCTGTGAAGCAAATACTCTACCACTGAGCTACAGCCCCAGCCCCAGCCCCTCTTTATAGCATTTTTTAAAAGGGGTTCTGTTGGCAACCCCTCCAAGTAATTCTGGATAAAAAAGAGATATGACCACTACTATCACTATCTAGCTACCTCCTCCTCACCCCAAATTCATTTATCCCTTTCTTCCACCTTATTACTGTAATTGTACCACTATTTGAGAATGAGTTGGAATTAGGTATTGACATCATTGAGACAGTATTGGGAGTATTATGACTTGTACACTATGATTACCTTTTATTTCCTATGTAATTCCCCTACCCCCAGAGTTAATAATTGCCCAGTTTTTCTCTTTTTTGCTCAGTGTTTCTCTGTACAGATCCCTGATTCATCTCCCATTATCCACCAGAACTGAAAGTCTCCTCTCTGTAAGTCTAAAACCAGGTATTCTACCTCTTCTTTCTTTTCCTCAGAGGTATCCTTCCTGGAGCCCTATGTCCCCTCATTCCCATCTGGACTGTTTGCTTTCTACCTAACCTATTTTAATGTGTCACTAACTAAACAGAAAAATTAAGAAACAATGTTGTGTTGTGATTTTCCTCATGCCTAAAAGCTCCTGAAAACTTTTTGTGTAAAACAAACAAAAAATGTGTTACTGGAAGTTCCTGCATGTAAAAATTAGAAAGTACAGATCAGGTGCTCATAATAGGAGCTCAATTTTTGTCTGTCAGCTTTGGAATAGTGAGAATGAGTACTAGAATTGGAATGCCACACCTTTTCCATTGCATTTCTTAATTAATTATTCTCTGTTCTCTCATTTTTGTGGAAAAGAGCAACCATTAAATTATTCCACTCTCACACTAAAATATTATCTGGTAATGCGATGATAGCCATATTTTGAAAAATTTGGGCACTTGTGAATGTGTGCTTTTGTTGACTGCTTCACTTCTTGTTCAAAAATAGTAGCACACATTTTAAGCTTCATGAGGATTAGACTGTTTTATTCACTTGGCACCTATTAAGTGTTCTATAAATATTTATTAAATGACTGAATGTTTCTTTTGTGACTGCAATTTGCTTCAACAACATATCTTTATTCATTTTGGGGTGCATGTACACCATGTTTGCCAACTACACTGAAATCCAAAGGGTGTTCTTTTAGTGTGCTTTTGGGTTATGTGCTGTGCTCTAGGCTGCAAATCATTTATTCAAGTGTAATATAAAAGCTATATTGAGCCCTTGGATAATTTAAACATGTTCAAATGTATTTGTCCTAATTTCTGAAGGCCAATATTTGTTCATTACTCTGTGCCTATATTTTTAAGTTGTTAATCACATAATTTTTCATGACCCACTATCTGCTTTTCCTATACTTGTCCTATTATAATTTCTCACAGTTTAACTCTCCCCACAGTTAGAAGCCAACTATGGCTAAGGACACTATTGAGGGAGAGGAAACAAAGCCTAATTATAGTTAGATATTGAAGGAAATTTACCTATAGTGCATTTTATTTTGATAATTGGTTAAGAAAGTCATTTTTTTTAAAAAAAACATTTTTCCCATTACTGTTCTTAACAAAATAAAAGGCTATACAAATTACTTATTGAAAAAGATTTCTTTTTGTTTTTAATTGTTTGTTTCCAGCATTATTGAGGTATAATTTAAAATAGAAATTATATATTCTCAAGGTATATAAGCTCATTATTTCTTGACTGAAATTTGAAAAATGTGGGAATCCAGTTCAGATGAGGGAGGTTTTTTTCTCCTTTGACAACACCAAAGCCATTAAAACTTAATTGTAAAAATGAATCTACACCAGGTATTTGCAAAATTCAGCTAAAGAAATTGGGTTTTATGATCTAACCAGTTTCATACTTCTTCTGACATATGGCTAAGGTAAGAAACCTTCAGAGAATTCCATGATATCCCATGACAAACTTTCAAAAGATTCTCCTCTTCCTAGACCTTGCCTTAAAACAGGAATTGCAAACTACAATCTATAGACCAAGTCCTGCCTATCACCTATATTTTTAAAGTAAGTTTTATTGGAACACAGCCCCACTCTTTGATTTACTTATTGTCTACAGCTGCTTTCTGAACAACAGCACAACTGTGTAGCTGCAACTACATGGACAACAAAGCCTAAAATATATACTATCCAGCCCTTTACAAGTAATGTTTGCAAAATCGAGGCTTACAAAAAAATGGATATAAATTTAACGTTAGAATTTATTGTTTTAATTTTTCTTCTTACATTTCTTTGACTATATTTCAAATGTTGGAAAGACTTTTGGGGAGTTAAAAGAAGGTCTAGGGGAAAAAAATCTAGTGGTATAGCCACATTTTAAACACTTAAATCTATATCCATCAGAAAGCTCTTCTCTCTGGGAATTTTTTTGGATAGTGTGGTGTTGACTCCTCTCATCTTTTACCACAGGAGGCTGTATTAAATGTTGAAGATGCTGCCACTCGCCTCCATCTTTTAAATCGCTCAGCTTTAAGATCAGTACAAGCTCAGGCTAAGACACCCAGTTCTCAGAAAGAGCAAGTTCCAACCTTATCTCCTTGGGGAGAAATTTTGACACCTATAGCAAGCTCTTCAGTTAACCATTTAAATAGTAAACAGGAAGAATATGTTAAGGTAGGTATTTATCATAAATTATTAGAAATAAATATTTGCAGTTTGAAATAAAGTGATTATCTATATGACACCAGGAGATTTAGTGTGTGTGCTTTCACTGCAGGTTGCCAAAACACTTTTTATTGATGAAGCATTAAAACCTTGCCCAAGGTGCCAATCCCCTGCTAAGTATCAGCCATATAAGAAAAGGGGACTGTGTAGCCGCACAGCCTGTGGTTTTGACTTTTGCGTGTTGTGTTTGTGTGCTTATCATGGGTCTGAAGAATGTAGTAGAGGAACAGCAAAGCCAAGAAATAGAAAAGATGCTCTCCCAGGAAGTGCCCAGAGTAAGCGGAATTTAAAACGCCTTTAAAGAGACGAAACATAAAAGAAGCATTCCCTCTTTGCAATGTTCTGTTTGTTGACTTAAAATTATGACTATTTTGAACACATGCAAATTTTCCCATTAATGACAGATGATGATTTATTTCCTATTTTGTATAGATCATAACCCATGTTATTGTATGTTTTAAGTGATGAGTTTTGAAAAAATTTTATTTTACGATGTCATTTTTACCCATTTTAATAACTTGGTGTTTTAAATAAAGAACTTTCAATGTTGTTTTATATATATATATATATGTATTTTGCTATTTCATCACTATATGTTGAAATGTTCTTCAATCAATTTTTAAAAAACAGTTTTTCAAATAATATTAAAAATTTTGAACTTAGAACCATATAGTTTTGGAAAATGAACTCTTGACTGAAATGAAATACAAATAAAGTATTTTCAGAAGTTCTGTCAAATTTACTCCATAATTTCAATCTTTCTTATATTTGGCATATTTTGATAACTTCCAAGTAAGTAAAATTTACTTAACATTGATAAATAGAAAGACATAAAAAAGTAAATTATGGGGAATATGTGGTCATTCATAATGGGAGTCTTAATTAATAAACCCCTGTGAGTCACACATTATAAGGTAATATTTTTAAAATTTCTTTAACTGTAATAACAGATTCCATTGATTCAGTGTAGTCAAGATATTACTATTTTGACAAATTTGGGCTGATTGGAAAAGATAGTTTTTAAAATAAAACAATGTACTAAATTATTTATAATATACATTATGGTTTAAAATACCTTTTTTCCAAAAATGATTTTAGGCTGGTTGCATGTTCCGTATAAAACAGCCATAAAAAAAGAGATAAGTTCTATTGCTAAACAAATTACTAAGACCAGGGAAACATTTGACAATAGTTTCATCATTCTCTCAGCTTATGTTTAGGTAATCTCTGTGTGTTGTATATATCCATGTTCTCACTGCATGCACAGATTTTCATATAGTTATCACACACTATTTTAATAAGATGATTTAAAGTGTTAGAAATAGATATGTGTGGGGAAATCTGCCATTAATATTAATTTATTGTTTAGCTATAAATTCTGAATTAGATCAAATTTTATCCTTTTCAGTTCCACAAAGGAATTTTTAAGACAAAAAATAAATATGATAACATGTTAGTTGTATTTAATAAAAGTTAGCCATCTTTAAATTTTAGGGACTTTTTGATTTGTTTGGTTCTAACCTAATTAAGTTCTCCGCCTCTGTTTCCTGCAACATCTTCTACATTGGGCCAGTTTACTAGTTAATGCAGTACACTTCAGGCTTAACTCCTTTTCTCCATTAGAAAAATTTTCTTTGTTTTTAGGAAACTTGTTCTGGTCCCGATTCTCTTTAATGTATGAAGTCACCCTTTTGGTTTATTTAATCCAAATTACTTGTGCTTGGCTTTGCTTTCTGTGGCCCATATTGAATCATATCTTCATCTGTCATATGAACATTTTTGCTATTTCATACTCTTGATTTTCTGCCTGATCTGTCATTCCCCTGGTGACTTTTTTAGATCTTAAAACCACAGATCCAGTTCCTTGACATGACTTTTTAAAATTTTATTAAAGAACAGGAAAGGAAGACAAAGATTTCTTGGTCACAGAGAATGTCATTTTCAAGGTCACCTGGCATCCTCTTTCCTTCCCCCCCCATCACTATCCCTCTGGTGTTGTATGTGTTGCAGCCACAGTTCCCTTGCAGGGCGCTGCTTACTGTGGTCCTCCTGTGGCTATGCAGCCCATTAGAATGTGATATTATATCTCACTTAGGTGGTAAAAAAAAAAAAAAACAGTGTTTACCACAATTATAGAAATAAACAACAAACACGTTTTATTTTCTACTGAAGGTAATCTTAAGCAATAGAAGCCGAAGGTTTTTATATTTCTGGTTTTACTTGGGATTTAAGTATTTAGATCAAATAGATATAAATGAAATAGAGTAAGGGCACATATTTTAATGATTTTATAATAAAACTTCCTGAAGAAGAAAATATCAGAGTAGTAATTCAACAGGTAAAATCCTTTTGGGTGGGTTTTATATTTGTGATTATACAATCAACGTTATCTTAATTATTTAAAGTTATCGTGTGCTGTCATAACTGACTTGAGTAGTTACCCCAGCTCTGTACTTCCATAGCATCCTTTATGTCCTCTGTCATGGAACTTAGTTGTCTGTATTTAAATCACTTTAGTTTCTTTTTGCATAAGCTCTGTGAAGTCCTAGGCCATATCATATTTGACTTAAAGGCCAATGTGTCCCTAGCATCTAGCATTCAGTTATTGAATGTGAATGGATTGTTTTAGTGCTGCTAGCCATTTAAAAAAATATTTATTTTTCAGTTGTAGTTGGACACAATACCTTTATTTTGTTTGTTTTTATATAATACTGAGGATCAAACCCATGGCCTCTCATATGCTAGGCGAGCACTCTACCATTGAGCCACAACCCCAGCCCCTGCTGCTAGCAATTTTAACCAAGTAAATCATTATAAACATTAGGCAAACAATTTGTCTTAATATAATTCATTAATTTCTTAACATTTGATTTCACTGATTAATGTTTTAATACCCAAAAGGTAGAATTTAAAGGATTTAATCTATTTAAGCATATACTCAGTGAATTTGTTTGCTACTCATTTTTTTAACCTTTATTATATTTATTTATTTTTATGTGGTGCTGAGGATCAAACCCAGTGCCTCACACATTCTAGGCAAGTGCTCTACCACTGAGTTACAGCCACAGCCCTGGTCTATTCATTCTTTTAGTTGATTTTGCCCTAGAACCAGTTAGGAGATAATGGAAGGAGCACTAGGTAAGGAGAAGGAAGATTGCTAGCTTCCCAGCCTCCTAGTGAGCACACTAGCTGGACTGCTTATTAGCTATGTCCTTATACAAGTCAGCTTCTAACCTGTTTGCAAAAGATGAAATTGAGCACACCATTAATTGATCTCATGCTAACTCATTTATTCCTTACAATGATTCTATAAGGAATTCATTTTTTATTCATTTTATATATCAGAAAACTGAAGAAAAGAGGTTAATAATTTGAGATCATACAGGCAGCAAATGGGGAACAGGATTCTCACTGAGGCAGTTTACCATCAGCAAAACTCTGCACAACTCTGTTGATGAACTCAGTATACATATAATTACAAAGTCTTAAATGTTTTGGTATTTAAGAATAACTATTGGTCTAGTAGGGAAAAAAAATCTAATTTAAAATAATTCTGCTTGAATAGAGTAGTCCTGAGCTCACAATTGGATTAAACAATTTTGTCATTTAAAAATACAAATAAATTTGGCTCAGCGGTAGAGTGTTCGCCTCACACGTGTCCTGGGTTTGATCCTCAGCACCATATAGAAATAAATAAAGGTATTGTGTCCAACAACAACTAAAAAATAAATTAAAAAATAGAAATGAATTAAATGAATATACCATTATCTGAGAGTAAAGTTTAAGACTTCCAATCCTGAGATTTTATAATCTAATGACATAAGCATTAAAGTAAGTATTCTCATATTCTAGTTGTTGCAACATTCTTATCAGTTTTGGTTATTGGGGAGGGAAACAAGTAAGAAAGTTTCTCCAGACATTTATTGATGGGTATACTCTGAGTATACCTGTGTTCCTGAGGAAGTTCCAAAATAAGAGCAATAAGTACATTTGGTATTTTATTTTTGTATTTTGTTTCATTTCTTTAAAACAACATAGGAAAATCAATAAATTTTTGACCTTCTACTGATTTAGGATAAAAATCTCTGCCTTTCTATGATCTGCCCCTTGAAGGCCTTGGTGACTAATGGGCAGGAATAGTCTGTCTGATTTCTTGATTCCAGGAAGGGCAGATATTTCCAAGTTCTCTCCTCCTAGTTTGGAAGAATAGTTAGAAACTCATGGCAAATAATATAAAGAGAAACAACACTTTAAGCTTTATCATTTTATACTAGTGTACCTATGAGCACAAATGTGGATGTTTAAGATTAGCTATTAAAATAACTAAGCTTTATTATGAATTTCTTTAGTAAGAGTTGAGTTGCTATTGAGAAAATATTTTTGTTACTTACTTGGCAAGTAACTGTGTAAAGCTAAGCTTTCCCATTACCTTTGCTTAATTTATGACACAAAGCAAAACTGTCAAATTTTTGACACAAAAAATTTACTGAACAATTTGGATATTTAATGTTAATGAATTATATCATAATTTATCATTAATTTGTCATAAATTGTACCTGTTTAAAATTGTGTAACATCTAAAAAAATGCTTTATTTTAAAAGATTTTTAAATCTTCATTTTTGTATGAAGAAGGAATGTTTCAAAGATGATACTAAAATATTCCACTAGGGGGCACCAAAGACTTATTTATAGTGATTTTGGCATTTCTTCAAAAAAGTAATTTTAGCTTTTATGTATTTGACATTGATATGCTATGACATTGCCAAATAGAGGAAGTGTTCCTTGACTTAATTTTTAAAGTGTATATAGAATAAATTTGGGGAATAGTTATTACTCCGAGTTGGTAATTAAAATATTTTAGCTGGCTTGCAAGAGCATACCACCTTCCCGGATGCCTGCTAATAGAACACCTTGTTGGCAGGCTCTGGTTTGTATTTAGGCCATCTGTGTTTATTTGCCCAATGGCTCTACACTCCTGGCTCCCTTGTCATGGACTGTGGAGCCAAAGAAATGGAAGGAGCAATGGAAATATGGCAGGTGAGTGCTGGTTATGAAAGTAGTGTAGTGCTACCAGTGATTTACCTCCCAATTCTCATTCCTGCAGAAAGGTAGTTCTGGGTTCAGGGCTTAATCGCATAGGTTACTGTGAATGTCTACTTACCTAGTTACCTGCCTAGGTTACTGTGAATGTGTCCTAACAGACCCTGTACTTCTATTTACTCCCCATTTGAATCTCTCCTAAATGTTTATTGTAGTTTATTTGTAATAAATGTAGCTCTAATCACATGGCTTCCTATTTAAAATGTAGCAGAATTTAGTCTCTCTCAGTGGTCATGACTTTCT